GACATTTTCACAACCAAGCGAAACATTTAATCACAATATGATTATTATTTATAAGTCTCTATACTTTTAAATTGGCTCATAAGAAGTAGGGCTAGTAGTCCAACTTGCAGACTCCAAACCCTTCTTGAACTAGAAGGGCTCTTTTTCTCTGGTGATAAACCACATTGCTACCAAGCTGCATCAAATTTGGCTTGGTAGTCTTCCCATGTCCTTGATAACAGACAAATAAACCACAACGACAACAATAAATAAAGAATAGACGTACCCTTGTGTTTTCTGGTACCAGTCAGCTCTGATGAGATTAGAGGTCAAAATGATGACTCTGAAGCCTTCCTCATACCACAGCAACATCATTTTCCTGATGACACACAGCAATACAATACAACAAAGAGCAAGCTAAAAGGCCTGTAATATCTGCAATGTGGATTATATAAACGTAAACATATTTTCAATGGACTGTTTGCAGTCTTGTGAAAAATCATGCCCTGATTAAGTAGCTTGTAAAACCACTTTCAGCAGCAATGACTTAAAGTATTTTTTTTCTGTATGACTTTATCGGTCTTTCACATCATCATATCTCACACCATCTTTACTATAGTGTTTATCGAAGAGCTTTTAATACCACATACAATAGAATTTAATACAATTTCTGAAAACAGCCAAAATGACAACAATGATGCAAAGCCTGATATGGTTACATAACAGTCGTGCTAGTTTGTAGTCAATAAATTTAGATTGACTTTTTATGCTCATTTACATCTGTATTTTTATGCTTTTTTTTTTAATTTTATTCTTCTAGCGTAGCTTGGCATGACCAGGGTAGCTTTGCATGACCAGGGTAGCTTTGCATGACTCACATTCTTTGTGTGTATGAAACAAACGGTTTTAGCTCGTTCCTCTTTAAAACAACTTTCTTCTTATTGATTTTTCCTCACAAACAAAAGCACAGCAGGTGTGTGGGGCTCCTGTGCTTACAACCTGGCTCTGTATAATGTCATAGACAAAAAACAGTTTGAAATGGAGTGTAGATATGTGAACCAAAGCCTAAGGCTTTAGATTGCTCTCAGCACCCCTTTTAGACATCAACAATGCTTACGTATGGTGAGTTCCAAAAGCAATGTCCAGCTTGGCCTGCAAAAATTAAAAAATGATTACAAATAAAAACATTAGCTCAACCTAAACGGCAATCCAAAGTGGAAATAATATCAACCATTTCCCTTTGATAAACAGCTGTTTCCTGTGTGGGCCAGCCTGTACCTGGCAGAAGCGCACATGTGGAAAGGGCTGAGCCTGCTGGATGAGTCGAGCTTTGGCCTCCCTCTTATCACCATGTACGATCAGAACTGGGCGATCCCTGAAAACATAAACACAGAGTTTAGCTTTCCCTGCACCACTACCTTCCTGCACCCCAGTGTACTTTTCACTGCTCAATGGTCTGACTCATTTCTCTCATTTTACTGTGATTTTTAATTTAATAACATTGTTTTTAATATGGACATCATCAGACCTGAGATCTGGGAGTTATAGTACAGTGACAGGAAAGAAGAAGCAGAACTTACCTAAACTCTGATGGGTACTGCTTCACCATCCAGGCAATATCAAAGCAATAGTTAAACTATAAAGAAAGAGAGTGGAGTTTATAGCCATACTTTTACTTCTTTGCAATGTCCCAAGTTTTTCACCTGACACATGAAAAGTAAAGTCATCAAATTCATCCTTAGGGATCTGTCGCATGTTTCATTGTAACCCACCCAACAGC